ACACGCAGAACTTTCTCCAGCAAGACAGTCTCCATGCAGAGATGGGAGTCACCAGCGCGCGCGATGGGAGATGAAAGAGAACTCTCTGAGCGACTACGTAGGTAGACCCGACACACCGAGCCCGTAGGTGGTGTGTTAGGCAGGACGGTGTGGGAAAGGTACTCCCCAGCCAGGCCCGAAGCAGCTTGTAGGTGCTAAGGCTATTGAAAAAAAGGGGTTTAAGTGTGCAGCGACATGTACAGGAGGGCTGAATCGTTACGGAGCCGTCCATGCGTGTAGTCCAGGGTACATCAAGGAGGAGACAGAATCAATCACTGGGCTGCAGGGGGCAGTGGTGGGGGCGGGGGCAGGGGCTGAGGGGGAGTTGGTCACTACTGGAATAGGAATGACAGTCAGTGGGGTGGGGGTGGCAAGTGCCGGTGGGGGTGCTGGTGGGGGTGCTGGTGGCGACAGAGGCAGGGGTGGTGCCTCGATGCGGGGTTCCTCCACAGGCAGGGCATGGGCCAGCCTGGCCAGGCTGCTGGCCTTCTTCTGCTCCTGTTCCCGTTCCAAGCGAAGACGCTCCTGCTCCTCTACGCAGAGGGAACACAAGGATTGTCTCAGCGGGACCAACAGTCCTGGGCTCCAGCTTCACCTGTCCTTCACCAGCAGAGCACACCCCATCCTCTGACCTTGTGCCAGTCAGGGCTCAGTGATACCTCTGCTCAGCTTGAGATGCCACAAATATCCGTCCATACCCAGCTAGGCTCTGGGCTCAGTGCTGGTGGCACAGCAATGAGCAAATGAAACTGACCCAGTCCCTGCCTTTGGGGAGTTCAAGGCCTGGAGGGTGGCGGAAGGGACAAGTAACGGGATAATAATCCCGGCTAGGAGAGAAGACAGGCCTTGGCGGAGTGGGAGCTGTCAGAGAGGATGCTGGAGGCTCAGCCACTTGAAGGTTGAAGGGTTAGGCAGTTGATGAGCAAGGGTCAGGAGCAAAGGGTGATAGATGAGATGGGCAGAGGCCAGTCCATGACAGATCATAGCTTCTGGGCAAGACCTTCAACAGTATTTACCAATAGAAGGCAAGCAGTACTGCCCTGGCTGGTTTGGCTCAGTGGATAGAGCGTCGGCCTGCAGACTGAAGGGTCCCGGGTTCGATTCCAGTGAGGGCACATGCCCGGGTTGTGGGCTTGATCTCAGTAGGGGGGTCGTGCAGGAGGCAGCCTATCAGTGACTCTCATCATAGATGTTTCTCTCTCTCTCTCCCTCTCCCTCTCTGAAAGCAATAATGTATATATATAAAAAAGGCAAGGAGTACCTTCATTTCACAGAATGAGATAAATTAGCTCAGAGAGGCAAAGTGATTTGCTGAGGGTCCACAGCAAGTCACAGGTAAAATGGGTCGACCCAGCCAGATCTCTTCGACACAGGGTGGATGCCTGGCACTTACTGTGCCAACATATGCTCACTCAGTGTCTACACACATACACCTGGGTCCTCACAAGAGCCCCCCACCACAGGTAGGGCAGGGACATCACCTTCAGCTCACACATGAGGAAAACAGGCTCAGGACTCGGGACTCCTAGGCTATGTCCCAATGCCTCTGGTCCCCTCAGGGACCCTACAAAACATAACTGGTCCTTCTCTGTCCTTTGTCTTGCTGAAACTCATTTCCCTCAAATGCCACCCACCTCCCCCAGCAGCATAAACTAGAAAGGTACAAGGCAGCAGAGAGGAAAGCCGTGGCCTTTTTAATAGAGGTTGAACAAGGCAACGAGTTCAGGCAACATTGCACCATCGTCCAGCACCTCTGCTGAAAGAAAGCCTTGCAGGAAAGGGAGGCCTGTTTAGCAGCTGGCTGGGAACAGGGTTAAGGGGAGCGGCCCCTCCTGCTCCAAAGGCCCCACTCTACCGCCACCCTCCCCCATTTGGGGGCCCCTGGCTACAGAGCTGAGCCAGGGCCCTGGGGAGCGACTGCAGCCCCCAGGCCAGGGAGCAGGCTGGTCAACCTGCCCTCCCTCCTGCCCCGATTCACCACAATGCGGACTAACCCAGCTGACAGCACGGACACGCCCCAAACAGGCCACCCCACAAGGGGTGGGGCTGAGGGATGAGGTTGGCAAACCACCTCCCTCAGCAGGAGGGCATCAACCCCCACTTGTCTGTCAGGCTCCGGGGCCCCAGAAAACCTTAGAGCTCAGGGCCCTTTAGCCAATCAACAACCTGAGTGAGCCAGAGCCTGCTCTGAGCCCCTCCCCCCCACAAAGAGGCAAAGGAGGAAGTAGAGGGGGATGTGCTCTGAGAGGGGAAGCACTCAGTGGTTTCCCAGCAGCCAGAGCTCAGGAGCTGGACAGGTCAGCACCGGCCTCTTCCGCGTCTGTCTCCCCTGCCCTTCAGGAAGGGGAGCTGCCGGGCCAGAGCAGGCCCACTCCAACTGGGGGAGGCCCTGCTCTCCCAGGCCTTTCCAACCAGCACTGACTTACGTTACAGCCCCAAAGAAAACCAGCTCTCTGCTCCAGCTTCCCACAGGAACACACTGGGAAAGAAACCTGCTGAGTTCCAGTTATGGAGCCCTTCTCAGACCCAGCCCGGGACACCCCTAGTCCCCTTCTCTGCACCCACCTTCACCTCTCCCCTCCCCACACTCAAGACAAGAGCCCAACACAGTCCCCACCTCCATTCCTTTGAACCAGGACCCAAATTTTCATTGGCCTTGGGTTAATATTCCATTCTCCCATATTTAGGGGGAGAGACAGGGCCCCAATCCCAAGGATAGGTGACCTGGGACCTCAGATTGAAGGCAAACCTCTTATTCCCCATTTTTTAAAGCAACTCCAAAGTTCACCCAGGAGATGGCAACCTCTTCACCTACCCTTCTCTTCAAAAGCCAGGCAGGTACGCCTCACAGGTGCCAGAAAGGACCCAAGTGAAAGGCCAAACTCTATCACACCTGGATCAGCATGAAAAGGGTAACTGGTGGTAAAGAACACGGGACAGCCCAGGCCAGACCCAGCCCACCAAAGTGTCCTGCCTCCTCCCCACCACCTCTGACTCAATCCCAACCCAGCAGCTACCCTCTCCCAGTGCACTGTGGAGGGGAAGACAGTATAGGGGAAGCAAGCTGGCAGTCCCTTGGGGCCTCCCTCAGGAGCATATAGGTTTAGGCTCTTTAAAATAATGCTCTGCTGCACCCATGAGTGCACTCACTTCTCACTCCCACATACTCCGATAACTGCCCTGGGCTCTGCCCAGAGGCTGTACCCCACCCCACCCCAGGGAATTTAGCATGACCTCTCTGGGGTGATCCCCAGGGGCCATGGAGTGTACGGGCATTATGCTCCGTCAGCCATCCCCAGTGACTGTGACCCAGGTGCTCAGCTGGCACAGGGCTGGAGCTTGAGACATCCACACCTGGTGACCCCAAATATGCAGGGTCATTCTCCCCTCCTGCATGCTAACAGTGAGCCTGGCACAGAAGGCAGGCCCAGGGTGCAACTAGGTCAGAAGCCTTGGACACTTGGTCAGCTTCCTCCAATCAAGGTAGAAAAGGGTCCCCCAATGGAGCCATCTCCATGAATGCTGGGAAGTGACCAAGCCCTCTTGCTAACCACCAAGATGACCTTGCCCTTCCCTCTCCTCTCTCTGGCACACACAGGCACACACATCCTCAGGTTCATCATGTAAGCAATCTGGCTGCTCTAGGTCAGGAAACTGACCCCTGAGGTTAAATGGAGGCATGCATAAGAGGCTCCCTGTTCAGAGCTGCTCATCAGGTACATAGCCTGGGACAGCAGTTTTGATCAGAAGGTTCATGCACCACCCCCTCCTGTCCCATTCTTCCCATTCCCAGTCTGAGGACAGGCCATCAAGGAGAAAATGAACACTGGAGAGTCAATTGCCGTGGCCTGATCTGGCCATCTGTACATGAGTTTTTGGGGTAGATTTGGCTTTCCAGCATCCACCCATCCACTAAGAACCTGCCCCACCGACAAGCTGTGACTGGGCAGCTGAACTAGGCTTCAACTCACCTCCAGCTCTCACCATGTGGGGGAGAGGGCAGGGCTCTGCAACTTCTTAGGAGAGAACCATTCCCAGGTTCCTTCACAGAGTTGCACACATCCTCCCTGTCCTTACTGGTCAGCTGTGGATTTACTTATTTTGGAAAGGGTGGACAGACATAGTGGGGGTCTTCTCCCTTTTCCCATATGACCAACTAGCCTGCAGGTAAAGTAAAGATGAAGTGAGTGTTTCCTTGAGTCAAGGTCAGGGTCAATCCTGTTCACCTGTAGCACAGTGCCTGGTACACAATGGGGACACAATAGTATTCTTGAATTGCATTGTATTGATGGTGGCAGCAGGTGACTCCGTCTCTCCAAATCTTGTGCAAGCTCCTCCCCCTGCTTCTAGGCACGCAGTTCTTGGTCACCACCAACACTATCCACCGCCTGACCCTACTCTGGACCCCAAAGAAAAGGGGGAGGGGCGTTTGGGTTGATGTCTTAGCCCATCCGTTCTGAAAAACCCAAGCATCTCAGTCTCACATATCTCGAGTGACTTTTGACCTTGAGAGACCGGTGGAGCCAACTAGGCCATCCGACCCGCCGCTCCCGGTCCCTGGGCGGCTGCGACCCCCCCCTACCCCCCCGCTGGCCGCAGCATTGGCGGCGCGGCAGCAGGCGCGCGCGCACGCACACACACGCGCACACACAACACACACTACTACCTCCTGCATGACTCATCATTGAAGCAACAATAGGCAGAGAGAAAGGAAAGGAGGGCGCAGCGAAAATCTCCACCACCACCAACCCGCCTGAAGGGTTGGGAGGGGGAGGGTTAAGGAGGGCAGGAGTCCCCCGCTGCTGCACACACACCCCGACTGCTGAGGGATGAGGCCCTAGGAGCAGCACGGAAAACGGAGGTCTTTCCCCAGCTCCCCCTTTTCTGCAGCGCCCTGAAGCTAGGGGCCGTCAGCAAGGGCGAGTGGGGATAGGGGGCATCTGAAATCTTCGTCTCTCTCCCCCGGCCAGGAAGCGCCAAAGTTTGCCCCTTCTTCTCCCCGCTCATTCCACAGTGTGACCGGGGATGTGGCCAGGAGATCCCGGTGAGAACGTTTCGGGGTCAGTGGGAATGTGTGAGCTCTAAATATCCTGTTGCTCTGCAAGTCTAAGGGTTTCCCTCGTCTCAAAAACAGGAGATTGGGGCGAGAACCGACAGGTAAGCCCGGCTCCTCCTTCGCAGGGAAAAGGCTCTCCCGGAGAGAGATCAGCGCCCAGAGCCAGGGCCCAACCGGGCGCCAGGCCTCTGGCCAGCCCCGCCCAGACCCCGCCTCCGGTCGAGCGCGAGGCAGCGAGGAGGGGCCCGGCCGCGCCGTCCCTAGCGGGAGTGTCCCCGGTGCACGTGGTCGGGGGCGGGGTCCGTCCACGTCACCAGCCGGTGTAACCAACGGGCTTGGTACGCAGACACACGCAGCATTCCAGCCGAAAGCGGGTATGGAACGCGCAGACACGCCACATTCCACACCGGCTAAAGTGGGGCGCAGAAAGGGGGGCCCGGGGGCTGCCCCCAGCGACCTGCGGGCCGTTTTTCAAACACCCAATCAGCCGGCTCTCACCCAAACCCCTGACGCTAGACCCAGCCCAGGCTCCGGGAGGCGGGGTCAGGCGGGGCTGGCCAGGATCATAAGACACGCGATGTCATTTCATTCTGCAAAGGCCGCCTCCGCCCCAGTGGCGCGTAGATCTGCCAGGAGTGCCCCCCACACCCGCCCCATAGGGCCAGGGGAGCTGGGGAGTTGCTCCGCGTAGAGTAATTTCTACCCCACACTCCGTTACACACACGCCCACTCGTGTGCCCATGTACACGTCCGTTCATCTGCGCTCCTCCAGGCTCCCATCACACATCCCCCGTGCACACACGCACGCACACACAGGTCTGCCACCCCCACGCAACACCACTGCTCACCCCACCCCCGGCTCTCACAGACTCAAAGCTACCGAGGGTGCCACTGACCCACGCGAAAGGAGCCCTACAAAAGGTGCACAAGGGGTGGCAGGCAGCTGGGGTGGCGCTCACAGGAGCCGGGTCCCTCGCTGCATGCTAATGAAGTCATTAATTAATTTCCCTGCCCACAACACTCCTCCCTCCCCGGGCGGCGGCTCTTGCGCCGAGCCTTGCACTGCTGGCTTCGCGGGCCGCCCGGTAGAGGGTCTTGTCCGTGGTTTCGGCGTGGGTTCGGGGACCCGGGTCGCTCGCCTCCCCTTCCCGGGTGCCCCAGGGGCCCAGCCCCGCCGCTCACCACGTGCTCTCTGTTGTTGCTGCGCTTGCCATTCCAGGAAGCGGGCCGCCTCCAGTAGCGTCTCTATGCTCATCGCGCTGAGAGCTGCCGGGGGCGCGCCGGGGCCGAGACTGCGGCCCGCGAGCCAGGCACAGGACAGGCTGGCGGGCAGGCAGGAGGGAGGGATCACCTCCGGGGGGCGACAGGGCTGGGCGGCGCAGCGCACTCCGCAGGCAAGAACGGGGGAGCACGGGCAGGAAAATCAATGTCTCCCAAAATATTTGCAAAATATAATTTGCAAATTTAAAATAATTTGATGCAAAGAAAAAAAGAGGCGGCACTGCCTTCTTCCTTCCCCTCCCTCTCTTCCTTCCTTCTATTGCCTCCCGCCCCGCGGCCCCCGGGAGTCCCGCCGACAAGAAAAGGCTTTGCAACAAGATGGCGAGGAGGCACCGACACACACAACAAGGGAAGGAGCCGCGCTACCCCCGGCCGCCGCCCCCGCTACTACACCGGGGCCGCAGCCAAAGCCCGGACCGGAGCCCCCACCCGCAGGGCCGCGGCGTCTCACGGAGGGAGGGGCGGGGTCGGGAGCCAGCTGTCTCCACCCACTTACGGCGCTAGCACACGTGGCCTGGGTGGGGGTGGAAGCTCGGGCCGGGTTCGCGCCCTTCATTTCCGCTTTCCAGCCTCGCCCCGCCCCGATTGTATGCCACAAGTTGAACAAGGGTGTGTTTGGATCATTCACAACGAAATTTGTCCTGCTGGAGGGAAGGTGGAAAATTCATCACTTAAGAAGCTCAAATAAGGACATTTTAGGTCAGGGAAACATTAGGATGGTAGACACCGGCCTGATCTTTGGGTCTCCGCTCCCTACCCACACGTGACCTAATTCCTGCAACCACCCGACTGTCGCAATTGCCCCGGGATCCGCCCCTGGGCGGAGCTGACAGCCGGAGGCTGCCAGAGAACTTGGAAGGAGCGGAGTGGCGATCCGATTCCGCGTTTTGTCTCCATTCCTCCCCCCGCAGTGCGTTAGCATTCTATTAGGCGACGTCATCGGGCCACGGGCCAATGGGCGGGCAGGACAACACGGCATGGAGCAGCTCCACATGGACACCCCGCACCGCCGGCCTTCCGTTTAAAGGGCCAGTGTTTAGCAGGGTCACTTTCGCGGGTGCGGATGGGGCCACTGTGTGAATGGGAGATGGGACGTCGGAGTGAAATTCCGCAGTTGTGCCCTGAGGCTTAGCCTTGACTTTTCACTAGCCTTCCTTTAAAACAGTGTCTCCCTTTCCTTCCCCTCAACTCTGTCCACTGGTCTCTGATGTGGGTGGAGGCTCAAACTGTGCCACCCCCAAAGCCACCCATTACTCTGGGACCCGGGCGGGGCGGTTATGGCGAGGCATCCCCAGCCCGGACCAAGGGGGCGTGGCCCAAATCGGGAACAACAACGTGGAGGGCGGAAGCCCGGCCCTCCTGGTGGCTGGGCCAGAGACCGCGGGCGGGGCGCGGGGGCGGGGCCTCTTGGCCCGGCCTCAACCAGGGTCGCCCAGAGGGCTGGCCTTCCCCCCACCCCCTTACCTCCCCACCTTGGCGGGCACCCTTCTTACCGCCGCTTCCTGCGCTAGTGTTTGGGGGTGCATTCAGGAAGTTAGAACTTTGAGGTCAGCTTGCCCAAATCCTCATCTTGCAGGTAAGGAAACAGGCCCAGAAACTAGAAAGGACTCAGTATTCCAGTTGTTCCGTAGGGAGGAGCATTTATTCCTGACCCCAAGATGACTCTTTTGAAGGCAATTCTAGGACAGGGTCCCCAATTAGAAGAAAAGTCCTGAAAGAATATAAAATTGCTCCCATGGGAAGGAGTTTGACCATTTAATATGTGATTAGAACCACAAAAATCTTTACCTGAAACCCTGTGTTCCGCTTTGGAGGAAGTTGCAGAAACCCAGGTAGTTTGTAGTCACAAGCACAGGCCTGCTGAAGGCATATTTGCGGCACCCTGGTGCACATTCAGCTCTGTTGTCCCAATGCCAGCAGGCCTGGGGCCCTCTCAGTCCTGGCCACAGATTTCTTTCTTTGCCAACCAGCGCAGCAGGACAATGCCAGTTGGTTTTAAGATCCCACGGCCTGGGCATCACCATCATACAAAACCAAAAAGCAAACCTTTATGAGGAAGTCTCTTTGGCCAACCACCCTGCCAATCCATTCCCTTCCATTCCCACTGAGGGATAAATTCTTAATTTGGGGACTAGTGGAGGGCTAGACCCATTGAAAGCTGGTACATATGCATGCTTGCTGGCTTTGCTCCTTACCTTTGAGGGCACAGTGCATCCTAGGGAAAATCTGCACATGCCCTGACTCAGTTGGTTAGAGCTTCCTCCAATACGCCAAGGTTGTGGGTTCGATCCCCAGTCAGGACACATACAAGAATCAATCAATGAATACATAACTAAGAGGAACAACAAATCAATGTCTCTCTCAAATCAACCAATAAAAGAAAAAATCTACACAGATCCTGGAAATCAAGAATCTAGTCAACAAGAGGAAAGGGCTCTGACCTTTCCACAGTTAATGTCCCAGCATCTACACCGGAGCATGGAGAGGCCATTACACACAAAAATGCCTGGATGCCTGCCACTGGCTCTATTTATGATGAAGCTGGAAAGTAACAGGTATTAAACATCCCAGTTCTTTTCCATGGGATGGATAAATACCCTTTTCGTAGAAGGGCTGCATCAGTGCTGGTTTTGACATTGCTCCCTTTGAGGCGTCTGCAAGCTGCTACCAGTGTTATTGGGCCTGGCCAACTGCAAAACTGAAGAAAATGGCAAATTTAAAGGCAATATATAGGTGTGTGTGGTGGGGGAGGAGAGAGGGTAAACAGTATATATAATAGTGGCCTGAAGTAACGTTGCTGACCAAGTTCTCATTTTGTTTGGGGTAAGTACTGGACCATTCTGCCCAGTGACCCAGGATGCTCAGAGCTACATCCTGCCATAGCTTTCTGTCCTCAAGTAGTTATGGCACACATACAGCTCTTGAAGTCTCTTCTAGAGGCTAAAGTCCAATTTTCCTGACTCTTCTTGTCAGGGCCAGCTCTATCATATTTAGAAGGCACCACTTTGCAAAGTAATATTCTAAAGGCACTTATTCCTTTAGTGGGGAAACAGGAGATAAAAGTGAACAGATTCAAATGCCAGCCTCTCCCTTGCCCCCAATACCCCATCTGCTCCAGAGCTTAGTGGAGATGCTTGCTATTTAAAACAAACAGCCTTACTGGCTTCACATGATCATCTGTTTATTTGGGTCATGTGGGGACAGCAGCCAGGGGATGTTAGGCAAAAGCAAGGGTTTAGAAAGGAGGCTCTTTCTGGGCCTACAGTTGCCTACAGAAGCCTGAAAATGGTCAAACAGCTTTTTCTCATCAACTAAGATTCCCCTAGTTGGTGAATGGACAGATATCTCTGTCAAGGTGATGGATGAGGAATAAAAGTGGAGGGGAATGAACAGAAGGGCTGTTTAATGTTTTGGCCTCAGCTTCCTATTCCAAGGGGGTGGAACTTAGGTAGAAGCTGCCAATTGTATTCATTCAACGGAATGGGAAAAGAAACATTTTTGATGTTTTAGCAGAAAAGTTAGCACATTTTGAGAATGATCCAAAGCCCAGGTATCTCAAAAAAAAAACTGTTCTAAAGTTTCTTTGTGCCTTCTAGGTGTTTAATACCTTTGAGGCAGAAGAAACCTGGGCCATCATCCATCAATGAGTGCTTTTTCACGAGATTTCTATTTTCAGCCTTCCTTCTCCAGCCGTGTGTACCCTAACGCCCACATCAAATCCCTCAATTTTTTAATATGCTGAACTAGACATTTCCTAATGACACTGTCTTCCATGCCCCCCCATTTACCCCAACAAAGCCATATGTATAGGCTTCACACTAGATCCCAGATGTCCTAACATTCCATACCTGACCTCTGAAATTTTACAAGTGGCTTTAGGGAGCTTTTCACCTATCATAATTAAGACAAGACCAGAAACAGAAAGTCAGCTATGAGATGAAGAGGAAGGAGCAGACGACCAGTCCAGCCAGAGACACACCAGACACTATTCATTTAACCAATATTTATTGTGTGCCTAACATGTGCCAGCACTGGGCTGGGTATCCTTGTAGCCAAGGCCAGGTGACCCTTTGGTAAGCCAGAGTGGGGTAAAGGTCACAGAGCAGAATTCCATATAATACCTGCAAAAGGCTAGCTTTGCTCTCTACCACAGTGCTGGATGTAGCACAAGATCATGTGATTACATAAAGGCCCATAAAGTACTGAGATACTCATTTTAGAAGGTTAGGGTCCCCAATAATCATATTTTTTGTAAGAAGGAATAAGAAAAACTAAGTGGATTGCAAGTAGGGTTAGCCAGCTGAACCTGATTCCTGATAAGCCTACCCTGAATGATGACCAGGGTTTTGAATTACTTTAATAGAGGTGAATCCTATGAGTACTCATTCAATCATCAGGGAAGTGGGCTCTCTAGAGCCCGAAGTTTCCATCTAAGTCTTTACCTACCATCCTCCACTCCTGGTGAGTTGTCCAAGGGCCTTTCCTGAACCTACGAAACAGGTACAATCAAGTTCCACCTTGCCATTCATGTACTTTCCCCTCTTCATTGCCTCACACGTGTCACAGCTAGAAGAGTTGAGATCACTGAGTCCAAACTCCCAAGAGAAGGTATCCAAGGTCTCAAAGCTGCTTAGTGTCAGCTGGGATGAGAGGTGGCCTGGTTCTCCTTTGACTGTGTGAAACAGGCCAGCTGGGGTAGTGAGTCCAGAGTCCTGAAGACCTCACAGAAATGGATGACGGTAGGGAAATAACCTCTTCCTTCCAGGCTAAGGACAGGAATCCTCATTAACTCTGCTCAGTGGTGCTCAATAAACAAGCTTAGCAAATGACTGAGAAGGCAAAGCAGAGGATCTCAGAGGACACTGCACTGCCTCAGGCCACTCTGAGGAATTAGGAGTTTCTAACTGGGCCTGGGTAGGCAGGGATACTTCAGGGGGAGCTGGCCTAAAAAGGTGACTGGGGAAGGGGCAGATTTTTATCCAGGCAACCGCCCTGGGTGTGGACACTGAGTAATAAGGAAAGACATGCAGTTCAAAAGCAAAAAGGGAGGAGCCAGGCACTATGAGCTTTTCTGAGAAACCAAAGAGGCTAGCCACTACGCAGCCAGAGACACTTAGGATGTGGATGACTTAGGAAGGAGGAAGCTGATAAAGTGGAAAAAGGCACAAGGGAAAGGATGAGGGCTTCAGTTAGTCCTCTGGCGGGGTTCGGGGAAGGAAGTTGTGGCTTTAGAGTAAACTAATTCAGGTTATGGGAGTGAGACTGGACAAAGTTAGTAGAGAAAGGTAAAGTCTTCAAAATGAGTTAAGAGCCAGCTGGATCAGTTAGGGTGGGGGGATGTTGATGATAGAGAAGGCCCCTCGCAGGGTACAGGGCTGGAATGCAATCAGTGCCCCCCAGAAAGGACTAA